TCCAGCTGCCAATAATGCTCCTGAAGAGCACCTGTATAAACAACCCATGATCTTCTAACTATCACTCTCTGTAAACAAGCTGAAGAACCTTGAAATGCAAAGTCAAATGATCAAAGAGAAAAAAGAAAAGACAATATTTCCAAGCCTTCCAAGCCTCCAAGTGATAGTGTTACTTCCTTTCCCTCTGTTATTACAGCCCTCTTTGTATTCCTTTTACATCTTCTTTATATACTGGGCTTAAAGAAAACAAAATTCTTAAATGGAGAAAAAAAAACCCCATCCAATCCAATTTTATAAAAATAAGGAAAAAGATTTTAATCCATAGGTATAAAAAAAGAATATAAAAAGTAGAAGAAGAAAAACTAATCCGTTCAATTTAAAGAATAGGAAACATTTGCAAAAAGTTCCATCCGTAAAAGAAAATTTGAAAAAAAGGATAACACAGTCTAATGTAGCTTAATTTTGCCACTTACTCTCGTCTGTTTTCATATTTAATTTAGCTTTAATTTTGGGGGGATAGTCTCTTTTATAATAATTATATTTCCTCACCAGATCAACACACTCTCTCTTTCTGTTTTCCTCTCGTTCCGGAGCTGTCCCAACTTCAGCAGCTTCAATGGCTGTGCTTCTGTCGCTGGCAATAAGAGATTCTCCTGGATCAATCAGGGACTTTGTGGTGTCCCTGAGATCAGCAGGATGTACTCTTCCCTGTCACCATCTCTTTTGGGCGATTTAGGTCCAAAAGGACCGTCCAGTGGCAAAAGTATCGACTGCAATCTTGGAGCTCCAAACTCACATGTTATGTCATTGCGACGTCAGCTCCTAATTTGGTAATAACTTCATAATTTAAAGTGTTGTAATTAGTGTAGTTTGGTAGTTTCTTCATAATTCTCTAATGCACCAAATGGCAAGAAAAACATGTACTTTATTTTTCAGAGTATAAGACACACCTTTTTCCCTCAAAAAACAGCCTGAAAATCTGGGTGCCTCTTATACACTGAATACAGCATTTTTTGCCTCCTGAAACCCCCACTCCACTGAAATGGCCGTGGATAGCCTCTAGGAAGATTTTAGAGAGCTCCTGGGAGATGGGAAGGGCAGAAATAATTTAAAAAAATGTTTTTTGCTCAATTATATCCTCCCCAGCCCCCAGGAGCACTCTATAAGCTTCCTTAAGGCTATCCATGCCCTTTTTTAAAACAAAAATGGGCCATGTTTTGCTCATTTTTGGCCTCCCTCCCCCAGCAGCACACTGCACCCCTCTAAAGGCTATTTGGGCCCGTTTTCACGAAAAATGGGCTGTTTTTGGGAAGTGTGCAGATTGCAATTTTTTTAAAATTTCCCTCTTCAAAGCCTTGCTGCGTCTTATACTCTGGTGCATTTTATACTCTGAAAAATACGGGTATGTAATCCCAACAAATTGCTATTGAGTTAGAAACAGTGTGGCCAATTCAAGATGATATTATTGACATAAATATTTTGAGATAGATATTCACAGACTTCATGAATTGAGGAAAATTGGTTTGTGACTTGGGTGGTTTGCAAAATACAAACAAACAAACAAACAAACAAATAAATAAATAACCAGATCTAGCATATTCCCTTTGCAAATATACTGAGGAAGCTACAGATGATTTATTGAATTCTGGATCCGTATATTGTATGGTGTATGAACTCAGTCTCTGTATTTCATAAAAGTTTATTTAGGACACGATGTGAGTCCAGGAAATCATAACCTATTTAAAATTCCATGGTTAAAAGAACTATGGCTTTCCAAATCATGGTATGAATGTTTAGCAAACTTCATAGGAACTTACCTTGCAGGAGCAAACAGAACATCTGTCTTTCTTCAATGTCCATACTTGGCCATTCCTTTTCAGCCCCCCTTCATGAGGGCAATCACCTGTACAGGAAGGTCCAGATGGACAGAGGCAATCAAATCCCCCTGCCAAGTTTACACAGGCAGAATCATTCCAACAAGTGTGAGTCTTTAAGGCACATTCATCAATATCTGCAGAAGAGAGATACATTATTAGACAAACCTGAAAAAATGCTCCTTCCCCTGGGAATGTCAAACAGTTATTTGAAATATTGTAGAATTAAAATTCATATCATTTGAAGGTACACTTTTTCTCCAGCCATCTTAATGTGAGAGAAAATAGATATTCCTCAAGTCAAATTGTAACAGAATAAAGAAATTGCATTACTATAATAGAAATAACACTAATAAAAATCTAATGACACAGTATTCATGAATGCTTAAACATTGATGTGACTACCAGAGTAACTATTCCTTGAAATCTAAAACAAACAAACAAACAAACAAATAAATAAATAATAACTAAAAGAAAATTTCATTTATTTAATTGATTCACTGTATCATATTTTTCAAGCAGAACAAGGACAGAAAAAAACATTGTCCTAACTCCTTGCTAATCATAATCATAACATTTTCACATGTTATAAAAAAGGAAAATAAAGAAATCAGGAATGATTTGTAATTTTAAAAAATAATGAAATTGGTTTCTTTCCTTCTTGTATAAAAATTGTGATACATTTTGATTATATTATTCTTTCACTCATAGGCATTCTTCTCTTCAGAGCTTCCTTTCTTCATTATTTCTGGGAATGAAAATTTATATACACAAACCCCTATGGCCCTACTGTTCACACAGCCACACTATTCATGTAAACAATGAGTGTATTTATTTCTGCTTGCTGAATTGTTCATGCAGAAAATTTTAAAAAATGTCTATTTTGAGGGCAAACTGTCTATTTTAAGGGCAAAAGGAGCAAATGTTCTAAACTTACAAAATTCCACAGCTCAGATTATTTCTAATGCCTTCTTAGCTCTCTTATTTAAGTGATACAGGCAAACTGGTGTAGATCCAATCAGACAACATTAGTGAAGTAACACTTATATTTCAGGCAAGAGCCACTCACTATCAACATTGTGCAACTGAAGCCTTATTTACAAATTTCAGACTGTGAATATTGAAAGCAGACGGTGAATATTGAAAGCTAGGAAATTATAAAGTATGAAATAGAACCAATATAGTTCTCTTCTCACAGAAGAGAGCAGACAAATCTTCCCACAAAAGCAATACAAATCAATCTCAATAGTCTAACATTTTCTTTTCTAGATAGGGTGGCATGAAAAGTAGCAAAGTCATTTTACTTACAGATGCCTAGAAGACAGATTCTTAATTGAGATCTAGAATGTTAAGTGGAAGTTGTAAAAGAAAAAAGTTTCCCAAAGGTAAGATTTCACAGGATTGCTTTACAACAGTGGTCGCTAACCTTTCTGACTTGGATAGAAACTTGGACTTGTTGGACAGGGGGAGGAAGTGGTGGGGAAGGGAATGGTTTTGTGTGCACACACCACTTTCACAAATGCAGAGTCGTGCACATGTATGCACTCACCAACAAACTTCCGCATTGCAGTTCCAAAAGTGCTGTGGCTGGCACTGGGTCACAGACTGGGAGGTGTGGACCCTTGTATTACAAAACTGCCTCCCAATTTCATGTACCTTTAATCGGTTTAGGTTTAGGTTTTATTCGACTTGTATGCCGCCCTAGTCCCGAGGGACTCAGGGCGGCTAACAAAACCAAGGGATGGGGGGGGGGAGACAATACAAAAGGGAAGGCAACAGAAACAGACAACAATACAAAACAATTTAAAAGGTCTCAACAAGCACACCAATTTGAGTAGGGGATGGAACTCAACAGCCCCAGGCCTGCTGGAACAGCCATGTCTTAACGGCTTTACGGAAAGCCTGAAGGGTGGTGAGGGTCCGAATCTCCACGGGGAGATCGTTCCTTTGTCATAATCAATGTATATCTTTAAATCTGCATTTATGAATTTAAACTAAGAAGCAAATGAAAATGATTCTTTCTCTAAGAGAGATGGCAACTCTAATTAAGAGTTCCAATTATAGGCATATAAGCAGTATGACTAAACCATTTGTTACAGTTTAGGAAGCTCATCCAGAGCTTGGAAGATGATTCTATCCCATCCACGTTTTTCTGGAATTAATCCAGTACAACCCTAGGCCTACCTCAGGAGACAATAGAGAAACAAGATCTTTGTTTCTTCATAATCTGGCATAGGAAAAGAACCAGGTACTTTTTGTTATTTTGTGTTTTTCAGAAAATAAACTAATAAAATAGTTCCCAAACATTATAAGTACTTTAAAAACAGTCTTTTGATCGATAATCATGCTAAATTTCAAACAAATGCATTATGTGTATCATGTAAATAAAAGTCTTTTTCTTAAGGAATGATAAAATTCATTCTTGATAGTTTATTGATAGGAACTGAGACAATATAGAAATCATCATGACTTGCTGAACTTATAGGATGGACCTACATTTATTTGGATTCTAATGATGGGACAAAATATTGAAAATGTAACTGTGACAACAGCTTCTCCTATTGCTTCCCCTATTGTGAATCCCCAAGATGGGAACAGGATATCTAGAGAAATAAGGGTTATAAATCTTAACATTCCAGCCTGTTTAAGTCAGTCACACAATGACCAGCTTCATGTTTATGGCAGTTACTAAATTCTTCCTTCTGAAAAGGCTTGCCTGCACCCCACCCCCCACCCCTATGCAAGGATGCACAAATAAAGTCAAATAATAAATAACCTGCCCTTGACCTGGAAGAATTAGGACATTATTGTTCTAATTATTTGTGGCTAAAGCAGTAATAAAGAAAGCACCTTCGCAATTCTAGGTACATCTGAGGGTATCAATTATTTGGATCAATTCACTTGAGTTTTCAAGATGGAATACATTTACAAGAAAACTTTGGTCAGGTTGATGAGTCACTTTTGCCACAAATTGGCTATAAGGAAGGAAGCCCTACTAGTTCTGGTCTACTGGTATTTTGTGATGGTCCACAATCTCCCAAGAAAGTTGCACAAGGGCACTCCTGTTTGAAACTATTAACCCGGGGTGTGTAATAAGAGCCAATTATTTTATCATTTCTTACATTTATATGCTGCCCGACTTTCAGCTACTATGGGCAGGTTACAATTATTAAAAACATTTAAAAACCAAGAACAAAACAAAACCAGCACAAGACGAAGGAACAATAATGGTAAGAAACCAACCCTGGAGGGGAACAAAAAAGGAAGAAAGGGGCATTGGTCATTCTCACTGGGTGAAGAGCCAGATTTTTAGTTTCCTTGAAAAGGATGGTAGGGTGAGGGTCCATTTGGACTGGGGAGAGGACTCACTGCAGAGGGTAGGCATTGCTACACAAAAGGTGCACTTCAGGGGCCTGAGAAGTGGCATTGTTTAATCAATGGAACCCAGAGTACACCAGTCCTGCCAGATAAAACCAGACAGGGAGATACTATGGAAGACAGATCATCCTTCAAGTAACCATGCCCTAAGCCAGGTAAGGCTTTATAGGTACCAATAAGCATATACTACAGATTAACAGAGCTGGAAGGTACCTTGTAGGTCCAACCCCCCACCCACCCAAGCAGGAGACCCTATGCCATTTCTGACAGATGGCAGTTCAGTTTCTTCTCGAAAGCCTTCAGTGATGAAGCTTCCACAACTTCCAAAGGCAAGCTGTTCCATATGGTTGATTGTTCTCACTGTCAGAAAATTTCTTCTTATTTCCAGGTTGAATCTCTCCATGTTCAGTTTCCATCCATAATTCCTTGTCTGGCCTTCAGGTGCTTTGGAAAATAGCTTGACCCCTTCCTCTCTGTGGCAGGCACTCAAATATTGGAAGACTGCTATCCTGGTCCTTCTCTTCACTTGAATTGCACTTGGAAGCAAACCAGCAAGCAATCCAATTACATGGACACACCTAAACATGTTTCCCACTGCCCATATCATTGCATTCTGGACCAGCTGAAATATTTCCTCATGGGGAGAGAGGGCTAATCATATCAGTGAGATGTTATCAGTATGTCGACAAAGCCTTGCTTTTCAGCACCTTGCCACCTCACTCCAAAGAAGCAGTCAATTACATTGGCCATTGCTGAAGTTTGAGAAGGCATTGGATATGAATAAGTAAAGTGGAATTAAATCCAGATTAGACAGAGATGCTGGTAGTTAATAGGATGACATTCCACTGGTCTCTCTACTTGAGATTAGACTTTTTAGACACTGGATTTAATATTATTTTTCCTTTTCTGTCTCATCCTCTCTGTATTGTGATCACGGTCAAATTATTAATGGTAGATGAACTCAAGGGCTCTGACCTTGAGAAATTGAATTATCTCTTTGCAAGATGTGTTTCCAACTATCAGCAAGCAAGCTGCTAATTTTGCTCAGCTGTACGTTCTTAGTTGTAGCTTAATTTTGTTGTAACCTTTTTATATCTAATATTTCTATTACTTTATTTTATCATTTCATTGTTTTGTTGTTATATGACTCTGTTTTATAGCATTCCTATATAATGATCTGTAGTTGCAACAATAAATTTGCTTACTTGCTTAGTCTCCTACTCATGTTGTTTGCAATAAATGACAAGTTCTGTCCAATATAGGCCCTTTCGCCAGCATGCCAGAGAAACAGCCTGGAAACAGTGTTAATTCAGACCTGGCATTTTTACCATTTTATGAATAAATAAATTATCCATTATCCAGGCTGTGGTCAGTTTTGATGGACATCTGAGTGCATAATCAATATGAGCCAGACACTATAGGGCACATAAATACATGATTAAAATGCATAAATATATTAAGACTGACCTTTCTCTTCTGATATAGATGCTATTCTACCCATATATTTATATGGTTTCTCTATTTTACCTACTAGAGCAGAGGTTATGTTTACTTTCTTTTGATTTGTGGCTTGAAAAAAAGTACTTAGGGAGATTCATTGGAAGTGATGCAAACAGATCAATTCAACTGCCACACATAACCTGGTCAATTCTGTGTAAATAAAGTCTGCCTACACATGGATGCAAACCCTCACACACAAACTCTCACACAACTTAAAATATAGTTTGCAATATACCTTACAACAGTAGTGGGTTCAAGA